TNTATATATATTAGTTGTTATGTATAGTATATATATATATATATAATAATAATAATATATATATATATATATATATATATATATATACACAATATATAAATAATAATATATAAATAATAAATAATATATATATATATATATATATACCAATATATATATATATATATATCTATATCTATAATGTGCATACATACATACATACATACATACATACATACATACATATACACACACATACATAAATACATACAGCATACATACATACGTGCATATATAAACACGTACATTCAGATATACATACATACATGCATATATGCATACATACATACACACACACATACATACATACATACGTACCATTTGAATGACCCGGAAGTAGATAGTGCTTGTATGTATGTCATGGTCAATGAAATTATGAACCTTCATAACAGGATCCACAAAGTTCACAGTAGCTGCTGTCATATTAAATTTGGGTTGTGTAATACTGAAAAATGATGTGGTAATGATAAATATCGAAGATAGGATCAGAGATATGGATATGGCTTTCTCCTACTGTAAAATGATGAATCTGTTTGTCCAGCAACCAGAGTATTATGCTCACCCGCTCAAGAACCAGCACTAATGATATGTGTATCATAGCCGTCAAACAGTATTTATTTATTTATTCATATTATTTCATAGCCTTCTGAAAATTAATTTTCAGAAGGCTATGATTATTTTCTCGCGCTTTTGTTGGGTTGGGTTCACGGGTTCTTTTGAACTCTTGGGTTTTGAATTGGCGGGAACCATTTACCGCCATGTTCATAGTTTAAAGGGCTATGACCATAGCTTCTTCGTTCCCGGTTGCCTTCGGCACAGTATACGAAGGTCTCCACCCTGGCTTCAACATCCCCACCTCAAGTATCTATTGGTAAACAAAGCACCAAAGAGAGGCGTGGATGGCTAAAAAATCGAAATCGTCGCGATAGCCCAAGCAGCCACTTCGATACGATTAACCACTGCGACTAATAGTAATAGTAATAGTAGCAGTAGTAGTAGTAGTAGTAGTAGTAGCAGTAGTAGTAGTAGTAGTAGTAGTAGCAGTAGTAGTAGTAGTAGTAGAATCAAGTACGCAATTCGAGACAAGCGTTGTACCCAGGCTAACGTCAATGACACGGTCGCTAACTGTAACACTGATGTTCAAGAGGTAGCCTGTGCTATGGGTGACAATGCCGATTGTGTGGGCAGTACGTTCGCGTCCCTGATCTCATCCTGCACAAACTCAGGCACGTTACATGCAGATCACAGACGTAGGCAGCGTGCATGTAACTTCGCCCAGGAGGTGTACCATATGGGAACGGCTGTTGCACTTGCGTTGATGGAACTACAGGCCGTAGGTGTCATACGGTAGAGGTGCCAGAACCTCCCTGTCGCGAAGGTGTCTAGTGCTTTACCCTCACCGCTTCCTCCGCTAACGATGCCCCAGTCTACATGAGTGCAACAGTAGTAGAGAGTGTGCACATAAGTGTAATGGCCCAGGAGCAGCCTGTGCTAAAATACTCGCAACCAAAGAACATTCTCAAGACGAAGAAAAAGTAATGCGAGATGACTTGTGAAGGTTGCTGCCAGAAAGGTTATGAGTGTTCAGGCGAACTGAAGGTGTTTGCCAGGTATCTACGAACCTTTAAAGGGTAGGTGAACAAAACGCGTGCACTTAAACGGTGGGTACTTTCAAGATGCCTGTCTGTGCGTAGGCTGATTGTAATTCCTCAAACCATCAGGCGGCATTAGCGCAAACCAATAAAAAAATTAATCCATATGCAGAACTGTTTATTTAGCGATACATGGACAATTTTATTCACGTACGAAAAATTGTCGAGCACAACTAGAAGTATATCGAAACATATACTACACAAGCACATTTAAGCGTGAAAGCGATAAAGGAATCAAGGAATCATACGTACTCAAATAAAATTATCTAACATAATATTCGCGAACGAACATTTCTCATCAAACGTGAAGAAGCAAATATCAAGACCTACCACGCATGCACACACATACACGTGTGTTCACACACATATTTTTTATAGATACATACATATATATA